TCCGGATCGAAAAACAAGAAACCAAATCGATCATGTTGTGATAGATGGAAGGCACGCTTCCAGTGTTTTAGATGTAGGCACACTCCGAGGCCCAAACATCGACTCGGACCACTATCTTGTTGCAGCCAAGATACGCACCCGCCTCTGTGCAGCAAAAAATGTGCGCCCAAATATGCAAGGAAAGCTTAACGTCGAAAAGCTGCAATCACAACAGACAGCCAGTGCTTTCGCTACTCGACACTCACACCTGCTCTTCAACAAACCGACATGGCGACCTAGTAACCGATGTCCAGAGCATACTTAAATTATGGAGGGAACACTTTTCCGCCCTACTAAATGGTAGCAGCATGGAAAGTTGTTTAGAAGAACCCGAACCCGCAGTCGATGATGACGGAGTCGACGTTCCCGTTTCAATTTATACTTGCACTAATTTTGGAAATAATATTCCTTATTTTTTAATTTTCATGATCTGCATTCAACGTATTTTGTATGGAAATAGTTCGACCATCGAAAAATGTTGTTACACTTGGCCATTTGTATTTCGAATGCTTGGTTGCACGAACGTTTCGTCCCATTCTAGGGTAATAATGTGCAAGATTTAAGTTGCTAAAGAATCGCATTTTTTACCATACAAAATATATTCGAATCTTTCTTTTTATGGAAAAAAATTTATGAAAATCAAGGTGATTCTTTAGCAACTTAACCCTGGCATATTATTGCCCTATAATATAATAGGATATTAAACTACATACTCAAAAAATTCTAAAAAATCTTTATATAAAGTGGAAAATTTAGCTGAAGCTTTACAGATTTTTTAAAACTTTTGCACAAAGTTTGAAACGCACATTTATATGATGTTTGTTATATAATGAGCAAGACTTTTATGAAAAAATAATAAACATTAAACAATATAGCCAAAATTGATCAAAATGTTGCTGACCTAATTAGCTAATCACAAGTGTAGTTATCGCAAAATATTATTTTACCACAAAAAATCTAACTGCAATGGGGTATAGTCGTTGTGCTGGGTTTGCAGTTACAGTTGTACGGCTATACTCGATTCCGACTCTTGCGTCCACGTTCGTGCACTCTGGGCAACGTGAGCAACCCATGTGCGAGATGCGGTAACGACGTAAAAAACCTCTCCAGTGAAGAAGCGAAGCAATGGCTTGGGTGAGACCCCCCTTATGATGACGACCACGGCAAACGTTTAAAGGACTACGATTTGAGAGCATGCACCTGGAATGTCCGGACCCTTAATAGGGAAGGTGCCTCTGTCCGGCTGGTTGATGTCCTCGCTCGACCAAACGCTCCGTCGCAAGTACTGTTGTTTACCCCGGTGGACGAGCGTCTAGCCATAATCTGTATCGTAGTAAGATTCTTCCACATCTCGCTCATCTGCGCCCATGCCCCGACGGAAGGGAAGGATTAGGTATCCAAGGATCGATTCTATGAGCGCTTGGAGCGAACGTACGAGTGCTGCCCTCTCCATGATATCAAAATCGTGCTTGGCGACTTAAATGCCATGGTGAGCAGGGAAGGGATATTTGGAACCACCGTCGGAAAATTCAGCCTCTACGACGAAACGTCCGACAACGGACTGAGGCTGATCGACTTCGCTAGGGCCCTAAACATGGTAGTATGCAGTACTAGGTTCAAGCATAAAAAGATTCATCAAGCTACGTAGCTGTCTTGGCCGTCTCCGGATCGAAAAATCCAAATCGATCATGTTGTGATAGACGGAAGGCATGCTTCCAGTGTTTTGGACGTACGTACACTACGAGGGCCAAGCATCGACTTGGCCCACTATCTTGTTGCAGCCAAGAAACGCACCCACCTCTGTGCAGCAAAAAATGTGCGCCCAAATATGCAAGGAAAGCTTAACGTCGAAAAGCTGCAATCACAACAGACAGCCAATTCATTCGCTACCGACTCTCACGCGTGCTCCCAGAGAGCACTCTTCAACATACCGGGATATGCGAGCAGTGGATCCAAATTTCCCGCTCATTAAGTACCACTGCCGAAGAAGTAGTCGGATCTCAGGGAGCCCGAATGAACACCTGGTACGATTAGGAGTGTCAGGAAGCTGCAGAGAGAAAAGATGCCGCCTACAGGGTCACGCTGCGATCGGGCGCAACGCGCGCTATGTGGGACCGCTATAGGGATCTGAGGAGGGAAGCGAGACGTATTTGCCGAAATAGGAGAGAAGCCGAAATACGTGAGTGCGAAGAGCTTGAAATGCTGGCTGACAGGAAGAATGCCCGAAAATTTTACCAGAGAGTGCTCCTGTAAGAGCAACAACGGCGACCTAGTTACCGATGTTCAGAACGTACTTAAATTATGGACGGAACACTTTTCCACCCTACTGAATGGTAGCAGTACGGAAAGTTGTGGAGAAGAAGAAACCGAGCTCCGATGACGGAGTCGATGTTCCTCCGCCTGACTATGACGAGTTACGAATAGCAATAATGCGGCTGAAAAACAACAAAGCTGCTGGAGCACAGAGCCTGCCAGCTGAGCTATTCCAGCACGGTAGCGAGGAGTTGATAAGGTGCATGCATCAACCCTTATACAGAATATGGTCAGATGAACGCATGCCCGACGACTGGAATTTAAGTGTGCTCTGTCCAATCCACACGAAAGGCGACCCCGCCACAAGCGCCAACTACCGCGGTATCAGCCTTCTAAGCATAGGTTACAAGGTGTTATCAAGCGTATTGTGTGAAAGACTGAAGCTCACCGTCAATGAACTGATTGGGCCTATCAGTGTGGCTTTAGGCCTGGAAAATGGTGGAGCAGATATTCACAATACGCCAAATCCTAAAAAAGAACCGCGTGAAAAGGATTGACACTCACCACCTATTTTTCGACTTGACGCCGCTATATCTGAATTTGGCATCCCCGCCAAACTGATACGGCTGTGTAAAATGACGTAGAGCAATACCACCAGCTCCATCAGAATTGGGAAAGACCTCTTCGAGCCGTTCGCCACAAAACGGGGTTTCAGACAGGGCTACTCCCTCTCATATTACTTCTTCAATCTGATGTTGGAGAAGATAATAAGAGCTGCAGAACTCAACCGCTCAGGACCAATGTACTACAAGAGCGTCCAATTGCTGGAACATCAGTTCACGGATTGAAAACGATATGAAAGAAAACTACGTAATACGTCAGGCAGTAGAAGGTGAATGGGACAAAGAGTACGTTCACGTATGTCATAATCCGAAAAATGTGTTTTAACGTGACGCGTAGTACGATATCGTATGTGACGATTCGAGCCCTGTTCTGCCTTTTCCAAGTTGGATAAGGAGGCAAAGCGAATAGGTCTGGTGGTAAACGATGACAAGACAAAGTATCACCTCTCATCAAACAAACAGTCAGCACATTCGCTCCTCCACGTCACTGTTGACAGTTATAATTTCGAGAGAGTAGAGAATTTCGTTTACTTGGGAACCAGCATTAACACCAATAATAATGTCAGCATGGAAATCCAACGCAGAATCACTCTTGCCAACATGTGCTATTTTGGACTGAGTAGGCAATTCAGGAGTAAAGTCCCCTCTCGACGTACGGAAACCACTCTATAAGTCACTGATCATGCCCGTGCTGGTATATGGCGCAGAAGCATGGACGATGACAACATTCGACGAGGCGGCTCTTGGAGTACTCGAGAGAAAGATTTTGCGGAAGATTTACGGGCCTTTACGCGTTTGCGACGCCGAGTATGAGCTTTACAACGACATGGACATAATGCAGCGAATTAAAATACAGCGGCTCCGCTGGCTTGGCCATGTCGTTCGAATGGACACCGACTTTCCAGCTCTGAAAGTATTCAACTCGGAACCCGCTGGTGGTAGCAGAGAAAGAGGGAGGCCCCCACTGCGATGGAAAGATCAGGTGGAGAAGGACTTGGCTTCACTTGGCGTTTCGAAGAGAAAGGACTGGCGCGGTTTGCTGAACTCGGCCAAAATCGCTTAGGCGGTTACAGCGCCAAAAAATAAGAAGAAGACAGCTGCCATAATTGGCCCTAGGGACACACAAATTTGTAAAACGCCATTGAATGCACATCGTACCTATTCACACGTCAGGTATGTCTACGTAACCGGAACGACTCAGATCTATATCTGGCCAGGGACTGTCACTCCAGCTGATTCCGTAAAAAATAGTTGCGTTCGACAAGTAAAAAATTTGTAATAGTTTTTCCAAATTTTTACTGGATGGCGTTCGATAACGACAAAAAAATATCCAACACATAAAAATTGAGAGAGCAAGCGTTCATTTTGATGCAAGAGAAGCGTTCATTTTGTACTGGCAAAATTTTAGTCAGCAAAAATTATCCAACACGAAAACATATCATCACAAAACATATGGTTGCAATTTTTGTAAACACAAAATTGCATTTGTCGAGTTTTGTTATTTATATGCATTTTGGCTGCCTGCTATGTAACTTTATGATAGTGCCAACTAGTTTTTACTTCTAGAAATGTTTCCTTTTTCTTCCATGGAGCCAACATGAATTTCAGTTTGTTTACAAATAAAACATAAAGAAAGTCAGCTGGTGTGTCTTCTTCTTCCGGTTTTTGCAAGTGATGGCTAATTTCCTGTTCGTTTACCTTTTTGCTTTTTCTTCTCTTTGGGAGAGAATTCTCGCTTACGCTCTTGATTTTGATTGTTGGCTGGTGTTGGCTAATTTTGTAATCGAACGCAACTAACGTTTGGGAGATTTCTATGTTACAAGAACAACAAATTAAAATAAAGTATTTGTTTACCTATTGTCACAAAAAAAAGCCTTTCGCCATGAAAGTTGAGCATAAGAGCTATTTTTAACATTTTCTTGAAGTAATAAAAAATAAAACCTTTCTCAATTGTGTTACAAAAGACTTTCAAATCATTTTTGCTAGAACCGCCTTACATGAAACCTTTGTACACGCCCTTTGAAACCTATGTACATGCCTAAAACGGACGCCTGTGTGCCTGCCTTATAAAATGACCTTTGGAAGATTTTTTTGTATCTGTATTTGTATCTGTATCGACATTTTCATATATTTTTTCAAATGACAGAATAAATAATACGTGAAGTATCCTTTGACATAATACTTATGGATGAATAGCCAAAATTTTGCAGGGTATCAATTGTATGAAGGTTTTATAAAATTTACTGCAGAAATTAGTACAAACACTGCTTGCTAAACAGAGAATACTACTTTATAATAAGACCATTCAACCCAGGCTACTTGACGTTGTTATTCAGTATTTAAACTATTATCGTTTGTGCTAATTATTCAAGGGACTGAATGTAATAAAATAGTCATGGAAATTTTATATATATGTATGTACATGAAAATCTATGCTTTTCACTATTGCTTGACAAGGTTTACATTCATTTAATACAAGCTAACAATTTATATCGTGCATTGTAAACTATAATTTTACATTTGTCGTATTATATTAAATTTATTTTGTAGTACTTTTTAACATTGTGTCAACTTTATTTGCTTTAACGACTGTAAATTTTTCTCTCTTTAAGCTTACTGTATGCACTGAGCTTCCATTTTCATTTAAACTGTAACTGAAATAGCATTACTTTCAACTTTAATCCTTCTTTATACCAACAGCTTTTAACGATTTGTCTATATTGTGTATTGGTGCGCCGTCTGTTATACTTTCAGATCTCGTTGCCGGCTGATTCTGCAGCAATACATTTTGTTCGTGCACTGCGTGTTCAAACCCGTTATCAATATTATCCCCGTCTCCTGCTATAAGTGCAGAGGTAAAATTTGGATCATGTGTACTTAACAGTGTGTTCTGTATCATTTCACCACTGCATACAGATTCTGAAGGTATAGCTTCCGAGGAGTCGACGTATTCTAACGCATTGTCCATGTCGATTGGTAACTCATTCATTTTGCTTACAATCTGTCTAAGCAACACATCTTCTGCCTGCTGCTGATTCAATTCGATTTCCAACACCTCCGGCTTTCGTTCGAGTGCATCATTACGTTTATGAGTTGTCGAGCAAACGCCTTCGTATACCTGCGGAATTATACTAATATCGCTTGTTCGATTAATTACTTGTTGCATTATAATATCCTCCGGATGTTGCTGTATAACATGTTCTTGCTTATTTTGTTTACAAATAGGCGACACGTCAGCTTCGTTTCCAGCACCTGGAATCAGAGTATCAGTTGTAACAGCTTTCCAGCCAACCCTTAAAAAAAATACGCTGTCTTATATTTATGAGATTATCCAATTATAAACATTTGTACGTACCCTTCATTGCTCAGTTCGCGTTCGATGGTGTGATCAATTGCGCCTTGAATAAATTGGTGAAGGGAGCCTACGAAGTTAATAAAACAAATACTTATAAAACTATATATGGCCATATTTCAATCATTTTTAATATCCGAATCAGCTCTATTTGAGTTAATACCAAGGCACGTTACTACCTATTCAATGAGCCTTGGCTACCACTATTCTAAATATAAAATTTTATCTACTACATATCACACGTTTAATAACACTATGCAACAAAATAAAACTTGCTTGCTCGGTATTGAGTAAAACCAAATGCGAGTGATAGTTTTAGATGTCAACAATACTACGTTAATGGCTTTTTCGACTTTAGCTCAAATAATGAAGATATCCTTAATTAAATCCTTGCACACAATTTATTAATTAATTAGGTTAAATTCTTGAAAAATATCATGTAAGGGTATTTTGATTCCAGGAATTCATTTTTTAAGTTCGTTTATTATAAGCTTTGTGCTAGAAGGCGCTGTAGGCCAATTTTTTTGAATGTCATTGTTTTTTTCAAATAAATACTCAGATTAGAGGTTTTTATTCAAAAGTTCAGTATTTATTGTATTTTATTTTATTCTCTTGTCTACTTTTTCTTCAAACTCTCCATCTTTTTCTGCTTTTTTTTTTTTGATTTTCAAAATCATCTTCATCATTGCCATGTGAAGAATTTACAAAGTTATTGCTCGCAATTACGTCATCAGCTGAAGCCATTATCCACCAAGAATTATCCAAAAATAATATTGATATTTTCTTTGACATTCAACCATTTTTTAACCGACTTCAAAAAGGAGGTTATCAATTCGTCGGAATATTTTTTTTAATGTATGACTTTGGACCACATTAACTGATTTCTTTTTTAAATTAAAGGTGGTGGTCCTACTAATTTGGTTTAGCTCCGATCTTTGCGTCATGAATAAAATAACGGTACTCCTAAATTTTTATATGAGAACTGAGTCGGCTTTGTTTTTTTTTTTGTTAAAAAATTACTTGTTTATTAAAACATCAAAGAAAGTGATAAATTGCTGTTATCGAAAACACACAAAATTAAATAGTTCCTCAAAATAGCGATTTTCACACTAAAGCCTTTATCACTGTCAAATAGAGATTGTAATTTTTCTCAAGCGAAATAAAAAGCAAAGATGTAATGTTTGCAAAAAGGATAAAATAAAATACAGTTAGTAGATAGAGTAAAAATTATATAAAAGTTCGGTCATCTGACCATTTTTCATTTCATTTCATTTATTAAGTGTATAATTTACAAATGTTACAAACTAGATATACAACTTTCATCTTAAGCGTAAATTACATATGTATTTAATTCTTTACTAAAACTGATAAATAATGTGCAAAGTATTTCGTATATAGGTATATATGCAGGCAATATCTTTGCACCTGCGTCTAGAACACATGAAGAGGTCGTGCAAAGTCTTCAAAAATTGGACGAAAATATAAATAATTGGGCCACGGAAACAGGCTCCCATTAAAGCAACAACAGCCCACCATGTTTGCAGGAGAAATAACACTATGCGACAGTAAAAATCGGGATGGGATGAAACCAACGGGAAATGTTATATCGGTCAAAAACAAGTTATACGTGGCCCGGCATTTCGCTGGGTCACGTCTAGGAATCGAGATATATTGAAAGTTTCTTAACAGAAGAAAGTCTTTTATCAAACAGGTAATAAGTCGACTTATGCGTGTTTATGCTCTTTGAAAGAGTCATATGGAAAAGTTTTTTGATGTTAACCCTAGAATGGTAAACATAGCCTGTGAGGCGCAACCATTTTTGGTTTTTGCGATATTTCAAGATTGGTCTCTCATAACAAAGCGTGGGTTCGTGCCCACTCAGTTAAGTGTTCTATAAGCTTGTGTGCAGTACGTGTTTTGTTCAGCTCCATTATGTTGCCGAAATATTCATACGTGTGTCACCTATGAGGCGATGTTTAGCAATAAATTTATTTTTTTTGTTGTATAGGAAACTTTTTAATAACACAATTGTTTCTAAGTCATAGGCATGATATTCTTTTTTAATATATTTATTTGATCTAAAATCTATAAGCTAAAGAAATTGTACGAAAATATCTCGAACGGAAATATTTTGTTTTTCAAACGGTCTGTGTATACTACCCATTAAAAAATGTGATCTACTAATATGACTGTAACAAATGTCAGATAAAAAAATAACATTTTTTTATTAATTTTTGTTACAAAAGATACAGTAAATACGTATTTGCTTTTGTTTGAATAAATCTTATTTTTTCAAAGGTGAAATGTTCGTTGTTTATAAAGGTAGCCTCATAGGCGATGTTTACCATTAAAGGGCTAAAAAATATGTTTTCCATTCTCGGGTTAAGCGGTAAGTTATTTCTGATGCTCCAATTAGTTAAGTTGTTAGATCAGTTTTTAATAGCAAAACACAAGACATAGAAGTGATACTTCTGAAGAATTTTAGGTCATCAGCGCACAGCAAAAACTTGGAATGCTTAAAGCAGGCTCCAATGACGTTGGAAGAATATAAGAAAAAGTATTGGGCCTAGGATTTTACCCTGGGGCACACCAGGGGCTGGATTCTGTAACAGTGAGAAAATGCAAAGTGTACACCGAGTACAAAATTCATGTTTTCTCAAGTGTACACTTTCAGGTTTCAAGCGATTCTCTAAACCACTGTGTAAATATTGTGCTGAATATCGCGCTGAATGTAAAAGTCATCTGTCAGTAAGGAAATATTATGATCAACAAAACAAATGAAGAACAAACTAAATAAACTAAAAACTAACTGAAAAATATGCCTAATTTGACACCTTGGAACTCGTTAAAAACTGGATTTTTTGGCGAATTCCGACCCTATGGTTCGGCTTGGGTTTGTACAGAAATAATTATTTACTTCGATTCCGAAAACTCTATAAGTTGCAGTACGAATCCGGATAAACGTAGAAGTAAAAAACCGCGAGCGTACGCTTTACAAGAAGAAGTGAAGTCAACAATTTATTTGAAGTATCGTTTTCACAAAGCTATTGACAATTTAAGAATAGAAGGAATTGGAAAATGAGTGAAAATGAGAGTATGAGAGAATCTCATTATTGAGTACTTATACTAATATGACAGTTCTTAACTTATACTACAGTGTGTTACAAAATTATTTTGCAAGAAATAAAAGTGAATGTTATCACATTTGGTTCTAGACCAAACATACTGCCCACCATTGAAACTCCTAGTTTCAATCAATCGGTAGCAATGCCAACTTTGCTAGGGGGCGCCGCAGGATTGTTGACGCTCTTTTAACATCTGCGACTCGTACATGTCCATCTTTACCAGCAATAACGTTTGCGACACGTCCCATCAGCCATTTCATAGGAGGTTGATTATCATCGTGAATGAGGACTAGGTCATTAATTTGCAAGTCTCGCTGTGTTTTCTGCCAGCGTGGACGATTTTGCAATTCGGTGAGATATTCGTGATGCCATCTGTGCCAGAAGTGTGCCTTTGTTGCAGAAGTTCTTTGCCATCGCTGAAGATTCGAAATATCCTCAACCAACTTCGTAGGTTATGGAATGCCTTTTATAGAACTTCCAATTAAAAAAACGCCCCGGTGTTAGGGCCTCCAAGTCGTTGGGATTTGATGACAGTGCACCAAGTGGTCGAGAATTGATAACGCTTCGATTTCAGCCAGTGAAGTGCTCAACTCCTCGAACGTTAACCGTGCAGTCGTCAGAGTTCGATACATATGCGCCTTTGCCGACTTAACGGCAGCCTCCCAGAGTCCTCCGAAATGTGGTGCTCTGGGGGGAATAAATGAAAAGTCAATAAAATTAGACGAGCAAAAATCAGTAATTTTCTTAACATTGGTGGAGCTCTGAAAAGCTTTAGCAAACTCCTTTAGCTTGGCGCCAGCGCCAACAAAATTTGTTGCATTGTCACTATAAATCTTTGACTCGCATTAGTTGGAAATCGCCTTCATCCTGTTTCCTCAAGGTGGCGATTTCGTTTGCAAAGTAATGCTGTTGAATAATCTAAGCAACTCGTTTAAGAGCTTCTTCTAGTTCTGTCGCTGTGTAAGGCATTCGTCGTAGATGCATAATTAGCATAATTGCAACAACACGAAGACCCTTTATGTAACTGCAGATATGGTCTTTCGATAACCTCACAGGTACATGCAAGCTTGCGTTTTTCCAAGTCATGATCTTTGTCGGATAAGTAGCCACTAAATGTTGATGGCCACGTTGATGAATCATGGAGAAGAAATGGAGGTCCGTGAAGCCAATTTGATTCCACAAGTTCGTTGACCGAACAGCCGCGTGAAATAAGATCTGCAGGATTTTCCTCTGTCGGGATATGTCTCCAAGTTACGTCCTTTGTTAATTGTTGAACATCAGATACTCGATTACNAGGATTTTCCTCTGTAGGGATATGTCTCCAAGTTACGTCCTTTGTTAATTGTTGAACATCAGATACTCGATTACCAACAAACGTTGACAGTGTTGATGATTGCGATTGTATCCAGTGCAATGTTATTTGCGAATCGGACCAAAAACACCTTTGGGAAATTTGCCAGTTAAGATGCTCTTCGATTTTGTTCCAGAACTTAACGAGTAAATGTGCGGCGCATAACTCCAAACGAGGAAGTGTGCAAACCTTTAATGGAGCAACGCGTGATTTGGACGCTAACAGGTTTACTGTGACATTGCCTACTTCATCCTTGCAGCGAACATACAAACAGCATCCATACGCCTTTGTCGAGGCATCTCCAAAGCCATGAACTTGTATGTCGACAGCATTTACAAGCCAACATATCTCGGAATACGTATGAGGTGCAACTGCTGTAAATCTTGGCAAATAGCTTCCCAAGCACTTGCAATTATTTGTGGCACAGATTTGTCCCAGTCACATTGAAGAACCCATAACCTTTGCAGCAAGATTTTCGCCTTAATGACAACAGGACTATAAGTCCCAGTGGGTCAAAGAGTGACGATGTTGTTGACAAGATTGATCGCTTCGTAATGCTAGTTGTCTGATTTTTTGGATGATACGCGAATCCGAAAACGTCGTCACTGGTATACCAAGATATTCCAAGTGCACTTGTTGTGGTATTGTCGTCCAAACAGACGTTCTTGATATCCGTCACTGATTCCATTAGTGATGGGTGATTACAGAACCATTTAGTGAGTGAAAGCTGAGCAGAATTCAATACTTCGCAGACTTCCTTCTTAATCATTAGCAGGGATTGCTGATCATCTGCTCCTGTTAACATATCATCAACGTAGAAGTCAGTTTTGATGATTTTCTTTCCGAGATCATTCCCATATGGACAGGTCTCTGCTGCGAATTGTAAACTACGAATTGCAAGATAAGGCGCCGCTGCAGTACCATATGTAACGGTGTTGAGGCTATGTGTAGAAATTTGTTGCGTTTTGTCATAACGCCAGAGAATCAAGTGGTACTTACGATCATCGGGATGTAGTAAAAATTGCTGATACAATTTTGTAATATCAGCTGTAAGACCATATTTGTGGCACCGGAATCGTAAAAGAGTAATTAACAATTCATTTTGAAGTTGCGGGCCCACCATGAGTAGTTCACAGTGAGACCTGGGAAGCCGTACGACACGATGCGTCGAAGACAACTCTCAGTTTAGTTGTCGTACTTCCCGGCTTTACCACGCAGTGGTGGGGTACAAAATAGAGTGGTGAATCTAGTTCCACATTTTTGAGTAAGACATATGGCCCAGTTCTTCGTACTCCTTCAAAAATTCTGTATATTCGCTCTTTAATGTTGGATTTTTCTCGAGTTTGTTTTCCATTGCTAAAAAGCGTCGCATAGCTATATCTCGCGAATTACCAAGACTGCGGACATCACCCTTGAACAGCAGTTTTACCATGAGTCGACCATTGGATTTGGTTACCGTTTTCAAAAAATGAGTCTCGCACTGGTATTCTTCTGATGTCAAATGTTGCCTCTTTGAATTGACTTCCTCAAGCTGCCATAATTTTTCAACGTTACGGTTTATATTATCTATTGTAGAAATAGCTGCACAATGGGATGGATTGCTAATTGGTTGTCGTGGAGCAGAGCATTTTCCGGATACGATCCAGCCAAATAAAGTTTTTTGCAGAGTAGGCAAGTTATCGCCAAGACGGATATTCCCAACGGATAAAAGCGAAAAAGAGGCTTCTGCCCCAAGCAACATATCGACTCCACGTGAACGGTGAAATTCAGGGTCCGCGAGATTAATATTTCTAGGAATCATTAGATCTGCTGATGCTACAGTTTCACTAGGATGATAGCCAGAGATTTGTGGAGATATTAGGAATTCTAGCGACGTTTCAAAATTATTAATGCGAGAGCGAATGGTAGTTTGCATTTTAAATGCTATTTTTAGTGGGGATGAGCCAATCCCGCAGACGTCGATATTATTACGAGACTTACGAAGATTTAAACCTGAACAAAGCGCCTGCGTCATAAGGTTCACCTGTGAACACGAGTCCAAGAGAACTCTACAAATCTCGAACTCTCCACAAGCGTCTCTAACCAAAATCAAGGCGGTAGCAAGTATAACTTGCCCTCCTTGCGCTGAGGCTCCAAGTTGGGTTTCGACACTGGTTGTATGAACTGATGCTGACTCATTTGTCGTAAAGCTGTTGTTTGGCGGAGTAGAGGGTGAGGAAATAGTTTCGGAGATATTGTGTAGCAACGAATGATGCCTTTTTTTTACAAAATCGACATGAATATTTTGATGGGCATTGCGAACATCCATGACCTTTAGCTAAACAATTAAGGCAAAGATTTAAGTTTTTCACTTGTTGTGAACGCTGAGTCACCGGAAGAACTACGAAGCCTTGACACGTTGATATATTGTGACCTGNTTTTTCAACGTTACGGTTTATATTATCTATTGTAGAAATAGCTGCACAATGGGATGGATTGCTAATTGGTTGTCGTGGAGCAGAGCATTTTCCGGATACGATCCAGCCAAATAAAGTTTTTTGCAGAGTAGGCAAGTTATCGCCAAGACGGATATTCCCAACGGATAAAAGCGAAAAAGAGGCTTCTGCCCCAAGCAACATATCGACTCCACGTGAACGGTGAAATTCAGGGTCCGCGAGATTAATATTTCTAGGAATCATTAGATCTGCTGATGCTACAGTTTCACTAGGATGATAGCCAGAGATTTGTGGAGATATTAGGAATTCTAGCGACGTTTCAAAATTATTAATGCGAGAGCGAATGGTAGTTTGCATTTTAAATGCTATTTTTAGTGGGGATGAGCCAATCCCGCAGACGTCGATATTATTACGAGACTTACGAAGATTTAAACCTGAACAAAGCGCCTGCGTCATAAGGTTCACCTGTGAACACGAGTCCAAGAGAACTCTACAAATCTCGAACTCTCCACAAGCGTCTCTAACCAAAATCAAGGCGGTAGCAAGTATAACTTGCCCTCCTTGCGCTGAGGCTCCAAGTTGGGTTTCGACACTGGTTGTATGAACTGATGCTGACTCATTTGTCGTAAAGCTGTTGTTTGGCGGAGTAGAGGGTGAGGAAATAGTTTCGGAGATATTGTGTAGCAACGAATGATGCCTTTTTTTTACAAAATCGACATGAATATTTTGATGGGCATTGCGAACATCCATGACCTTTAGCTAAACAATTAAGGCAAAGATTTAAGTTTTTCACTTGTTGTGAACGCTGAGTCACCGGAAGAACTACGAAGCCTTGACACGTTGATATATTGTGACCTGATTTAGAGCAAAACGCGCACAACATATCCCTTTGAGAACTGCGTTTCGCTAGCAACGTATGATTGATTTTCGCGTTGTTAGTATAGGTCCTTTGATGTGATGACTGAGCTGCAGCTGGCCCTGACGCGCCTTTCAAATTAGCATTTATTTGTTGACAACGTTTGTCCAGCATTGCGCAGCAGTCAACCCATTTTGGTAATGATACGTAGTCGATGTGTTCATCCCATTTTCTTCTTGTATCCGAGTCAACTTTACACAACGCAACATGTATAATGAACGCATCACAAATTTGTTCATAAGAACCTAGCGACTGTAAGGAGCTGTAAAGAGCAGAGACGGTGTCGACTATGTGTCGCAACTGCCCCGGTACACTCTTAGTCGCCTTGGGAATATCAAAAAGTGCTGATATATTATCTAAAAAAAATTAAAGTGTTGTTATCGTACCGGTCTTTGAGACGTTGAAGTGCCTTGGCGTAATTTTCATTTGTGACTTGGAAAGCCTTTACCGTGGATAACGCTTCTCCACTTAAACAAGTCAGCAAGTGGTTGAACTTCTCAATGGCTGGTATATTAGGATCATTATCCACGAGACTATTAAAACAATTTATAAAGTTTTTATACTCAATGTATTTGCCATCAAACTTTGGTAAACGCAAGTTTGGTAACCGATTTGTTGTTGTTTGTGGAAAACATAGAGTTTGTTCATAAAAACTTTGTCTTCTACGCCCGTCCATTGCAGCTGATATTTTGCATTTTGCATTTACATAAAGCTCATCAATATCTGACCGACCATTATCAGCTGGGGACAGTCTCTCAATTTGAGTTTGGTAGTACGAAGCTTGTTTGTAATACGAATCAATTACAGTATATTTTGCTTAGCTGCCCATCCTTCTTTGCACGAAAAACTTGTGCACTTAACCGAAAAAAGCACTTAAGCGAATTTTCTTTACTACTTCAATGAGGAAGGTATCCGAATCCCTATCAAACCAATTAATGGAGGAGCGCTTACCACGTAGAAATTACTGCAAGCGAAATTTTTACCGAATGGTATCTAATTATCTATATAACTACACTAATTGATAGCCATTTTCGTTGTTCTGCGAGATGAGCAAAATAAATAAAAGCTTGTAAAATTAGGTAATTGTAGGGCCAGTGCTGGTAAACCTAATACTTTCTTTGATAGTTAATAATAGTTGCACAGTTTTTAAGGCAGGTATCGCCAATGTGCATGTATGTTGAATACATCTATCGGAGGAGTTTCCTTATAAATGTTAAAAATAATGCCGCTAGTGCGCATTTTAGGGTAGGTATCTTAAATGTGCACTTAAGCATAAAGGCAGCAAAGCAAAATATACTGTATACCAAGGCGCCACTCAAGCTCTGTTACGGAAAGATTATTGTTTCCTTCAATTAAGTTTCTAATGCGGGTAATACTACCCTTGGTAGGCGCTCGAAGTTGTTTTAACTCTTCAAGTGACGGTTGATTTTCTGTCATTTTTGCGAAGCGAAAATGGTCTACATACGGTATGAAGATGGCAGCAGCGACGTACGAATGTAAATTTGAGACAAACTGAGCTAGCACAACAATGACCGTTTTCGAAGCTGAAATGCTTTCTCTTAAGTACTATGAAGTCTACGGCGATGCGAAGAGACTCAAGCAGAAAAAATTAACGCAACAATGATGTCACAACGATAGGACAATAACAGGTGATAGCGTTGCCTAGCGTGTATGAAATAATTTCTCTCTTTGTGTAACGAAATTGTAGAGCATTGGATTATGAAGTTATAATACCTATGCTAAGAGCGCAATGTCCGGTATGCGTTGGCGTAGCTTAAAGGGAATATATGTACATATACGTACAATGCGCACACCTCATATAGATATATAGCAGCGGTTGTAGCGGATTTTTAGCTATACATATATAAATGCAACGATAACGGATCCTTATATATGCAATTTACCTTGGCACACTTTCTGTCAATTATAGATCTTTATAACTGGAATATGTCTGTAAATTTACCCAAAACTCCTTGGCTGATGGTTGAGGAAGATAAACGTTACAACCTTTGCACCCCTACTACCCATGCACACATAGGACAACTTATGCGAAGTGTCAAAATCCTTGCAAGCTGATCCACCTAGATGAACTTATGACGATGCGAAAACGTGGTTAGGCACACATGGGACAACTTATGCGAAGTGTCAAATCCTTGCGAGCTGATCCACCTAGATGAACGTATGATGATGTGACAATGAAGTTTTGCGCAGGACAACTTATGCGAAGTCTCCTGGCAGGATCGCCAATGAAAAAGATGCCTAATTTGACACCTTGGAACTCGTTAAAAACTGGATTTTTTGGCGAATTCCGACCCTATGGTTCGGCTTGGGTTTGTACAGAAATAATTATTTACTTCGATTCCGAAAACTCTATAAGTTGCAGTACGAATCCGGATGAACGTAGAAGTAAAAAACGGCGAGCGTACGCTTTACAGAAGAAGTGAAGTCAACAATTTATTTGAAGTATCGTTTTCACAAAGCTATTGACAATTTAAGAATAGAAGGAATTGGAAAATGAGTGAAATTGAGAGTATGAGAGAATCTCATTATTGAGTACTTATACTAATATGACAGTTCTTAACTTATACTACAGTGTGTTACAAAATTATTTTGCAAGAAATAAAAGTGAATGTTATCACATTTGGTTCTAGACCAAACACTAACATTGAAAAACATAATAGACTTAATGAGTGGAAATATTATTGCATTTAGATTGCGGCGTAGACAAAGGTGTGATAACGTGTTTTAGTTATGTTAAATACTCTTCTCATGTAGGTACGTATGTATGCAAATGGTTATTTTTGTATTTAAGCCGGAAAGAAGGAATCTGCGAGATGTGCAAAATCCATTTGAGATAAGCGACGAGCGTTTTATAGTTATATAGATTTCCAAAAACTATTTTCAACGAGACCCTAGCCCAGCTTTCGCCGTTTTTCCGGTCTTCGAGACGAAATACTGCTATTCCTACGTATATGAAAATGTTGTCCGCTTTGAGATTTTTTGCCACCGGAAGCTACCAGCGCCCGATAGGACAAGATTTTTTGTCCTGTTTATCACAAACGACTGTCAGGAGATGTGTTGAGGAAGTCACAACCATTCAAGCGACTTACGTGCGGTTTCCAAATGAAGCGGAGGAACCTGCGATAAAAGCGGAATTTTACCAAAAATATGGATTCCCGGGTATAATTGGCTTAATGGATGGGAGTCACATCAAAATTATAGCACCTAAAGGAGATCTAGAAAGTTTATACTACTGTAGAAAAGTTAAGCTTTTTTACTTTCAATTTGAAAAGTTATACTCAGTCAATTGTGTACATCTATAGGTGGTCATTCCATCGACTTATTACTTATTTGCGATTCAAAACACCAAATTTGCTATGCCAATGCGAAGTTCCCAGGTACGTCGCATGATGCATACATGTGGCGGACTTCGGCAATTCAAAATTATCTAAAAGAAAAGTACACGAGAGGTCATCGTAATTACTGGTTGCTAGGGGATAGGGGATTTCCACTCCAACCATGGTTGATGACTCCTATAGCTAATTCAGCAAATGAAGAAGAAGAAAGATATAATGTGGCACATAAGAAAACGCGATGTATAGTTGAGCGGCCGGTTTCGATGTTTATCTCGACAAAGAACCAGAAAAAGCAGGAAAAATAATAAACGCTTGTATAGTACTCCACAATATCCTATTAAAAGCTAATGTTCCAGTAACCGAAGCAATTGAAACAAATATAGATTTAGATGAATCCAATGAAAATATTTCAACATCACAAAACCACTTACAAACACAAGCAAGAACTACCAGCCTGCGAATAGTAGAAACTTACTTCCATTAGACTTGCCTTGAAATAAACTCATAAAATAAACATTTAATGTACTTAAGCAAATTTTGTTTTTGTATCAAAATTCTTTTAATTTTAATCGTATGTTACAGTCGTAGAGCTCTGCAAACATTTCTTCTCCGGTATACTAAAATGAAAGCGTGAATTTGGGGTGGTGGTAAATTTATTTATGTATGAACTTAAATACGTTATACAGGGTGTCCCAGAAGTAACGTGCCAAACTTTAGGGGAAGGTAGGTGGGGGGTGGGCTCCCTGATAAACAAAAAATTTTCAGGTAAAAGTGTCACCGTTTTTGAAATATTTACATTTTTTCGAATTTAAAAAAAAATTGTGCCTTTTCATGTGTTTTCTTTAACTGCAACTACAAACCGGGCAATACTTAGTAAATTTTTTATGTAAAATACTTCCAGATAGTTGCCTCTCCATACTCAAATGCAATGTAGTTAAAATATATTAAGGAACCATC